CATTACGTCACTTAGTTTATTAACTTTACTTTTTGAGAAGTAATATGCCTCTGAGCATCAGTCGCTGTGGAATGAGACCAAGGGAGGGCTAAGGCTAGAAGAGGAGGAAGGGGAAGGAGAAGGGGAAGAGGAGGAAGAAGAAGAAGAAGAAGAAGAAGAAGAAGAAGAAGAAGAAGAAGAAGAAGGAGAAGAAGAAGAAGAAGAAGAAGAAGAAGAAGAAGAAGAAGAAGAAGAAGAAGAAGAAGAAGAAGAAGAAGAAGAAGAAGGAGAAGAAGAAGAAGAAGAAGAAGAAGAAGAAGAAGAAGAAGAAGAAGAAGAAGGGGAAGAGGAGGAAGAAGAAGAAGAAGAAGAAGAAGAAGAAGAAGAAGAAGAAGAAGAAGAAGAAGAAGAAGAAGAAGGAGAAGGGGAAGAGGAGGAAGAAGAAGAAGAAGAAGAAGAAGAAGAAGAAGAAGAAGAAGAAGAAGAAGAAGAAGAAGAAGAAGAAGAAGAAGAAGAAGAAGCAGCAGCAGCAGCAGCAGCAGCACATGGTTTTTGTATGCTGCCCATCTGACTGGGTTGCCCAAACCATTCTGGGAGACTTCCAACATAATATACAAAACAAGAACACCACAGAATATTACACACACACAGGGCTGCCTTCAGATATCTATAGAAGGTGATATGATTATTTATCTCTTTGACATCTGACAGCAGGGTGTTCCAGGATCCAGCCCTCTTTCAGTGCATGTATGACCCCTGCCCCACCCCCTCAACAGAGTCTTGGGGCAGACCTATGAATACATAGGTCTAGTTCACCACCGATTGGATAGTAGAGAAACAACCACGAACAAGAAGCCCAAAGTCTGTGACATGCTGAATGCTCTTTGAACTTACAAGCTTATTTTCAAAAGATACTGGTTTTGAAAATAGACTTCTGTTAAACATTAACCTATAGCATGTGGTTTTGTGACCACAGAAAGAGAAGCAGGATGAATGGAGTGGCTCAGGAGTGGTGATTGCAGCTGAAACAGATACCAGAGGAGAACGTTGAAACTAATGAATGCAATCCATTTGGGCGCTGCAATTTTGAATGGGGCTCCAGCCCTCTTCAGTCTTCTGTGTTAAATCAGCTGCATGAACAGAGAAAGGGGGGATGAGCACACTAGCTCCCTCCCCCCTCACAGGAGTGCCTCTGTTCGTCTCCTCAAGCTGGAAGGTGACTGTCTGAAGTCTGGAATATCAGGGTTGTACATCATGCAGACCCTCCATGGGTGCCTCAGGGTCCCCACCTCAGCTGAATGCCCTCCAGCTCATGGAAGTGTAGGGTGCAGAGCTAACATACTTATCCTTGCTCTTTGTATGTTGATTGAACACAGAAGATGAACCCATGAGTAGGGCTTCCCTAACTGAAGCACTACAGGCACTTTGGGGGACAAGGAGAACTGGAACTGCTACAGGTGCCGCATAATATCCATTCCACACATGTAAGAAATCAATATTTTAATGTGGTGGCACCCACACACTGGAATTCCCTGCCTATTGACATCAGGCATGTGCCTTCACCGTACCATTTTTGGTGCTTGCTAAAAAAAATTTAAGACAAGCCTATACAGACGTTAAAAAGTTGGCATATGTTTTAATCTGATTTTTAGCTTATTTTTCCATCTTTTGGGGATGTTTTAGATAGCTACTAATTTTTTACTTACAATTTCGTTGTTTTATTCTTTTTGTAATGTACTCCGAAGATTCGAGTGTTATACAGATTTTATGAAATAAACAAAAATAAACAAATTTCTCCAAATGTCCCCTTCCACAATCTTCTGAATATCCCAGTCTTCTAATAATGGAATTTGCAATTAAACTCCTTCAAATCAGAGCACGGCTGACATTTCTGAAGAACGCTGCCTCTTAGAGACAAAACTTCACCTTCCCCTCCACTCCCCCTGTCCCATTCGATAAGTTGCCCGCCAGATTGCTCATTTCATAAGTTGACAGTTCCTTTTGCTCTCTGTAAATAATATCTCTGTGTTCCGATCTCAGGAATTTTCTCTCCCCTTTATCCCAAGGATCAATTGTTTAGAGCAGAGTTGGTGTCTTCTTTCATTTTCCTACCTTGAAGCTGCAGGAAGTTGTTTAAAAGAAGCCAAGGAAATGTATAAACCAGCTAGAACTTTAAACAGATGATTTTTTCTATATATGTAAAAAAACACTTTTAACCACAAATAAATCCTATACATGTAGTGCTCTGTAGTGAGAGTATGTGACGTTAACCTATGAGAGTGCTGGAGGTGAAATAGTTAAACAGGTTACCCAATCAGAACCCAGGGGGTGGAGTCAGAGGGACTATAAAAACAGCTCTGGGAGGGGCGAAGGGAGGAGTTCGTTGGGAGTTGGGTGGTTGGTTGGAGTGGGAGTGAATTGGGATAGAGTCTGTGGGTAGGTTGAGTTAGTGTAGCGAAATCAGCTGAGTCAGGAACAGTTAGGAGCTAGGAAGACAAATATAAATCTGAGGGGTGGTTTAGTGAGTGAGAGCAGGTAGCGGATATTATGGGTCTGAGTAGGCACCCCATGATTGTAATTGACCGATACCGTTTATGAAACCACACGCTTGTTAAACTTCAATAAATAAACAGAAGTTTATGTTCCAATTTAACCCTGACTGGACTCAGTATTGTACCAGGTAGGGCCTGGGTGGCAGCAGCGAGAAATAAAGTGGTGGCACAGGGATCAATAGACAGTGAAACATCTGGGGACCCTGTGTGATTGCCACAGAGGGCATCAACTGAACTGATCCTGAAACCAAACAGAAGGGCTTGCTGCATCAGGCCAACGGCCTAGCTAGTCCAGCATCTCTCAGAGTAGCCCACAAGCAGGAAGTGAGTGCAATTACACTCTCCCCTCATGTAGTTTCCTGTTACTGGCATTCAGGCACTGATAGCCTTATCCTCCACGTGTCTAATCCTCTTTCAAAGTCATCGAAGTTTGCATCTATCGCCACCTCTTGTGGGAGGGAGTTCCACAGTTTAACTACCCACGATGTGAATAATTATTTTCTGTTCTCTGCCCTGAACCATCCAGCACTCTGTTGAATAGGGTGTCCTTGAGTTCTAGTGGAGGAGGACAAAAATGACTCTCTATCCATTTATTTTAATTTGTTATAGACACCTTTTTCACCCGAGGCAACTCAAAGCAACAGCTAAATGAACAACAACAACCCTCTGCATAAGTACATTAAAACCAAAGGTGGCAGGGAATCTTTCACCATTCCATGAATTAGTTTTATAGGCTTGTCACATTCTCTATTACTTGCCTTTTCTATAAACTAAGAAGACCCAAAGGCTGCAAACTTTCTTCATAAGGGATTAGCTTCTGACAATCTGGGGCATCTACAGTACATCTCCTATGGGCATCAGAGATATTTTGATGTCCCTAGGAACCACAGTAGGCCGGAAACGACTTGAGTCCATCAAATATGTGTTTGCCACACCCACCTGATCTTCTCTATCCACAATTCTAAGGAAATATTGATATTTTTTTCCGTAGGTTTCCAAGCTAAAACATGTTTCCGTAGGTTTCTAAGCTTGTGCGCAATTGTTGACACCTGCTAGCTGACACCATGCATAACCCACCTTTCCTCCAAAGATCTCAAGGGAATATACACAGTCCCTTCCATCCCATTTAATGGTCCTCACAACAACTTTGTGTGGCAGGTTAGGCTTGAAAGACCGTGATTGGCTCAAAGTGAGCTTCATGATTGAATGGGGATTTGAACCTGGAGCTCCCCAATCCTGGCCCAGCTCTCTAACCACTACACTGCACCACACCATACCAAATTTTGACTATCGTTTAATCCTGCCATCTCTTACATTATGCCACAGTGGGAAAGGGGTGTGATACAGTGTTGCAGAGAGCTATGGGTTATGTCCAATGCCAGGCCTACTCAGAGTAGACCCATTGGAATCCATTGACATGACTAACTTAGGTTTAGATCAGAAGAATCTTTATTTCCGTCAGCCACTAGCCATAGCAATAAAACTTAAACTATACCAAAATACATTTTGGAGATTTATGTCAATAATCAAGTAATAGATCTTATTCTAATAGCCCCTACTAAAAAATTTGCAGTTTTTACTGTCACCTGATTATCTTGATCTGCTAGAAGAAAGGACACAGTAGCAATGGTTGAGCGACCAGGCATGGACAATAACAGAGGGGTAAAAAAAACACCCTCCTCAAATCTGTATAAAGAGTGCAAGCCAGAAACACATGAGCCACTGACTCAATACCGCCATCTCCACATGGACATAACCGTTTTTCCAGCGGATTCTTTTGAAATCGACCCTGAAGTACAGCCGAAGGCAGAAAATTCAAGTGTAAGTGAAAGCGCATCTGTATTTTGGAATTGTTAAATTTTGCAAATAGGGTGCCAGCGTGTCAAAATGACTAGGTGGAAAATAATCATACCACAAATAACTTTTGTGGTGAAAGCATTTGGTTGGCAATTTTAGCCCAAGCGCTAAGTGTGTAACTTAGGTTACTGTGTATATACGGACAATGACAATAAATTTATCTATCTAGGTTCATTAGTATACTTCACTGCAGAACTTCATTGGCTACAAGCCCCACTATACATTTCCAGAGTTCCCTGTGCAGAGGGATCAATTCTTAAACCTTTCTGTGAATTGTAGCTCTGTTAGGGGAATAGAAGTGTCCCATTAAAGACAGCAAAGACAATTTTATTGATTTCCTGCCTGTATTCCATCATGGAACCCCAGGCAGCATGCATATGGTTCCAGCCGGCCACCCATCCAAGGCACTGACCTGGCCCAAACCTGCTTAGCTTCAGCATGAGGCAGCCTAAGGTACCTTCAGACCAAATCTATAGCTCTGAAGCAAATCAGTTATAAGGATCAAAGATCCAAAAACAAAAGAGAGCAGGAGAGAGAGAGAGAGAGAGAGAGAGAGAGAGAGAGAGAGAGAGAGAGAGATTAAATCACAGCAGTGGCGAAAAAACAAGTCCATCCATTTCATTTCTTTTTATTACAAAAATAAACAATTTAAGAACCAAAGTACAAAAGATTCTGAATGTACAAACTAGAAAACAGTATGACATTTGTCACTTTTAAACATTTTCTCACTTGCTTTCACTGAAAGCATATTTTTAGACACACTCTGCCTATATAAAAAAAAAAAGATTTTGCTATTTCTATTGCATTTATTAAGGCTGGGGTTCATTTGCTGTCAAAGGTTATTTGTTCTTAAAGACAGGAAAGCAGCAGCACCTTCAGAATGCAAAAGATCCAGTAGCAGAAATGCATCTTTTGTCGCAACTACTGAAAATTTGTGCTTTTTTTGAATAGCGGCTCTGCCTGTGTGTCAGGGATACACTTCTCTGTGGCAGTCCCAATGTGACATACGGGAATCAGATGCAAAGTTTTTCTTCAGGTGTTCTTCTGAACACGTACATTTGCAGAACTTTGGTCAGCATGAGTTATCTACATTGGTCAGCATGAGTTATCTACATGGCTTCCTAGAGGGCAAGGATAGGGAGCCTGTGGTCCTCCAGCTATGATTGGACTCCAACTCCCATCCACAGACTACCTTGGAAGCTGAACTCTCGCATCTGGAAGAGTACAGGTTTCCCATCCCTATCATAGAGCGATCCTATCATATCCATTGGAGATACCAGCAATCCAGAACATCTTCCAGAGTCAGAGCTGGCCTGGGGAATTTTGCTGCCTATCACAGAGTACAAGGTGGCATTCTACATACAGAAGCAAACATGGCCGGCAGCTGAATCTTACTTCAACTGGGTGATGCAGTAGTGCCTTCGCTGCACCTGAGGTAGCAGGTCTGATGAGGAACAGGCCGTGTGGCGGCAAAGTGGAATGGCTGGGGAGGCCTCAGGAGGAATAGCCAGGGCCTTCAGATTCTGTGCCACCTGAGGCATCTGTCTCACTGGGCCAAACAGTAGAGCTGGCCCTGATCGAGTCCCCAAGAAAGTCCCATTATTTCAGCCTGAGTATCCAAGCCTTTTAAATTCACCCAACACAAACGATCTGCGTTAGCCCAATGTAATGAAATATCACACAAACCTAGGTGATACTACTCATTGGTTTTGAGATAAGCAAACAAAACTAGGACAGGCTTTTGAATTAAGACAGCTGCTGATCAGCTTACCCAAAAACCAGTTCCTGGGTTTTGCCTCTTTGTACTCCACTATCCTGTTCTATTGGGATTAAGCCAAGAGTGTTGTGCAGATAAGGACAGGTTTGATTGTCAATGGCTCCCATTAAGTGATATGGGATAATGCAAGCAGGATGCATTTGTCAAAAACTGATTGAGGCAGGGGCAATATCTCCCTCCCTTTATACAGCAATAAGGGGTAGGGTTGGCTCCTAACCTCAGTGCTGTCTTACACCCTTCTACTTTATCCAAGAGCTTGGCTCCCATTCACTTGCATGGGAAAAGTAAATAGCCACAGTTAGGACTGGGGCACCATTTGGTGCACTGACAGAGACAGGTGCAGTGTGTCCGTTTGATTAATTACAGGCACACGCATGTAGCAAGCGGCTCTTTTTTCCTCCCTCCATCACAATGATGGGCATCTTGCTAGTTTATTTTAAACTGGAAAATAGCTATGTTTTTGACTCTGCAGATAGTCTGGCTGCAACATTTAGTCAACTAACCAATTAGATTTCCATTCCCTCCTACATAAGAGAGGAGGATTGTTTTCCCTAAAACAATGCCTGCTGCAACATGCACATGTATCATCTTTTTAAAAAGTTGTCCTCTTTTTGAACTATTGCATTTTTCCCCTCTTAGGCAAATAATGCAGATTTATATCCATTTAAGCTGACTTAACGCAAGCTTTCTGTGGGGGGGGGGATGTGTGACAACTTTAACAGATGCTATAGCGTTCCATCGCACAAGGACAACCATAATTTTTGGTCTTGCATATTTGGTTCAATGAACAGAAGTACTGATTGTCTCCCAAGAGGTTTCATGATCAGCTTTGGAACTCAATTAGGCTTTTAATAACAATGCTGCAGTGATTGTACTTGCCTGTATAAATATCTGAACTGGAGGTTCCAAACTCCCTGTGAAAATGAACAAGAATTTCCAACCAAAGCCTACGCAAACCCTATACATAGTGAGAAAAGCACACTAAAGGTGGCTGCTCCTTTTTAGCAACCTATAGATAGCCACACAGTGTATCACATTTTGGATTTCATTCTGCTTCTTCCAAGTCACATCTTAAAAATGTCATCCTATTGCACATTCGTCCTGGTCATGTTGGTCTCTTCTTTTTAAGGTTTGATTTCACGCTCTGCAGATTAGAAGGAGTGATATAGTGCAATTCCCTCCTCATCCTCAGTTTCTTTGTGTACAACAGCAGTCTCTACATTGGCGTGTTGACTGCAGTCATATTTTACTAGCTTGCAACTAGGGCTGCAATCCTATGCATGCCGACTGGAGAGTAAGCCTTGCTGAACTTCATGGGAGATACTTCTGAGTAAATTTGCACAGAATTGGACTTGTAGGTCAGGCTAGCTTTCAGTTGACCACTTTCACGTAGGTCGTCTTGTCGTGATCAGATACAATGGAAGTGGATCCCATCTTGAAGTAGACCAGCTGACGACCTAGGCAGAAAACAAAGAAGAACGGTGATTTTTTAAAAAAAACAACAACACTGCAGCTTTTTCAGATTAGGAAGTGATGGGAGTCAAGGAGGCTGCAGAGAACATGTTCATCGCCCATGGCCACTTTGCAACAGTAAGATGAGCTCAAAACTCTGCACCCACTGGAATTCTGAAGTGCCCTGAGAATGAGGCAGAAAAATGGAAGCACATTTTGCAGAGGGTGAAAACTTACAAAGAACTGGATGAGAGATTTCAGAACAGCACTCCAAATACAGTGGTACCTTGGGTTACATACGCTTCAGGTTACAGACTCCGCTAACCCAGAAATAGTGCTTCAGGTTAAGAACTTTGCTTCAGGATGAGAACAGAAATCATGCTCCGGCGGCGGCACGGCAGCAGCGGGAGGCCCCATTAGCTAAAGCGGTCTTCAGGTTAAGAACAGTTTCAGGTTAAGTACAGACCTCTGGAACAAATTAAGTACTTAACTTGAGGTACCACTGTAATACTAAATACCAAATGTTGAAATTTTAGGTGTCATGTTCAAATGGGAATAAATATCACACTATGCACATTTCCAGCACTGTGTATAATTTAGGGTGCAATCTTGAAACCCTCTTACTTAGAGATAAGCACCATCGAGTTCAATGATAGTTACTTCCAAGTAGCAATGCATAGAAGCTCCCTATAAACCTCAACAGTGCAAACCTGCATGTTTTTAATTGGGTTTAACTCCTCGAAAGTTCCTCTCCTAGGCAGGAAAGAGGCTTTTTTAATGTTAATATTAAATAAGTAAGACTACCAGAAATACGCACGACCTCTAAGTATATCCCCACAAAGATCCCAGAGTTCATTTGAGGCTTCCCTTTGAGTAAAGTAGCATTTGTTCGCATCTGCCAATGTCTAGATGGGAGGGCAGAATGCTCTGCTTGTCAAAGGAAGATCCTGCTCACATTGCATCCAGCTGGAAGCGGTCATCCAGCACACACACTAATCTCTATGGCACTCGTGACGACCGATAAAGGCAAGGTGCTGGAATGCATTTTGCAGGATTGCTTCTGCAGCTGCTCGGCTGTTTTCTACCTTCTGCCTAAACTTAATACAATTTCTACCCGCCTCTCAAGTGCTTCCATCAGCAACATAATGTTGTGCTCTGGACACTGCCAAGAGAGATTTTGTTATGCTCAACAGCTATATGGAACTCCTGGGAACCGAAATGTGATCGAAAGCCAGGAACATAGATGGCCGTGCAAATGGCCCCCCATGAAGACAGAAACATTCCATAAACTTTTGGAATGCTGAGGAGTTCAGGGAAAATAAAAAGTTGCTCAGTGAAACTGGCGCCCTCTAGGTCAGGGGTCCCTGTGCTGTGCTGCGCTGGTTTAGCGCAGTGCAGGGGGGACTCGCTGAGCGGGCGGTTCGGTTCGGGGGCTTGGGGGCCAGTAGATCAGTCTTCATGGGCCAGATCCAGCCCATGGGCCGCACGTTGCCGACCCCTGTTCTAGGTGGACGAGACCCACCCCCTTGCTTTCGCCATTTTTCTAGGGAAAATAAAAGAAGGAAAGGCACTCTCCATGCAGCAGTGTTAGAGGCTGCTGTGACATCAGCAGCAAACAGACCAATCGCTTTCCTCTTATTTTGCATGTTTGAGCTCTGAAAGGAGAGCAGGGCCCTGACGCCCATTTCAAGCCAATCCCATTCCTTAGTGGCCATCTTGCTAGGAGGGAATGATAGTAACTCCAGTCCACCGGCATTTGTTACCTGTCCACGTTGTCTGATTGGTGAGCACGAAAGCTTTGCACTCGGAATGACTCTCACAAACCTCCATGGCCTCGCTAACGTCAAACACGGATAGGAGACATTCCTTGTGATGGTAGGAGGGCCAGCACCTGTAATTCTCATTGATGATAGTGGCTTCAGGCACCTTTCTGTAATCTGTAGGGGGAAAGAAATGCAAATATTCCACATATGCTTTATTTAAGGAAAGTGGGTCCTCTCCAACACAGTCTTAGAAAATGGTACTGGCCCTCTTCTCGGTTTCTGAAATATATTGCTGGTGTGTGTGTGTTAATAACACACAAAATATCTGCCAAAGGGAATATTTTGCTATGCTCATTTTCGGTGGAGAAGAAAAAAGAAAAAAGTTTGCCAAGAAACTCCATCTGCCCCTAAAATTCTGTCCCTCGTCTCCTTCCTGCGCACTGCAAGCCTTTCATTTCGTCGAGCTCTTTATAGAGAGAATGTTCTACTGAGCAAACAACATCCACTTGAATGAACAGGCGACTCAGCCCTCATTTGCTCTGAACAGGGGGCTGAATTGTCAGGGCAAGACCTGATCAGGCGCCTCAGCCCTCCTTCTGAGTCAGAAGAGCGTGGCTGTTTTTCTCTGCTTTTGTGAAGAAAAGACAGGTTTTTAATTAAGCAAACTTTTTTATTTCTTCCTAGGAGGAATACAAAGGGGCAGTTTGCTTGATGGGCCCCCAAGATAAAGGCATGGGGCGGGTTGGGGGGGAAGGAATGGGGTTGTTTGGGGCTTGCCCAGCACTGCGGCATTGCCTGTGGATTAGCTTCCCCAATTGGCTGCCGTTCAGTCTCCCTCCTCTGAGCGCCTTTCTCTGTCTTGCTCCCTGTTCAAGACTCTAGGCCGTTTCCCAGCTGCCTGCAGTCTCCGGTTTATGAATGCATCAGGCAAATCAAACTAATCATTTATAAACATTTCTACTTAGCCGATGGACTCACAAATCACCCTTCCGTTTTTTTGAAAAACCACGCGCTTCTAATTGTACCCATTAAACAAACTGTAAGCTGAATTTCTAGTTTCAGGGCCTCGTGTTTTGTTGGAGTCATTTCAGTTCAAGAAGAGGGGGTTGTTTTGTTTTTTTGCCCGCAGCTATGAAATTTCAGCCTGTTGATATTTTGGAACGGGCTTTGTTAAGGATGCTTCCAACTCAACAGTCACAGAGTTAACTTTTGGCTGCGATTATACACGGGCTTACCTGAGAGGAGGCCTCACGTCCTGGGGACTGCGCACAATCTAACAGACAACAGATTGGTTTATATGAAAATTGCTCCCCATGCCATTAAGCATGCATTCCACACACCATCTCCTTGGAAAGTATGTGAAATATTTAGTAAACACACGTTGGTTTCACACAGCCCTTGGCTTCTCCTCCTCTGACAACGAGGAAGCAAAATGCAAAACCACATTCAGGAAGTAGACGCCTGCATTCTTGACAGAGCTTGGGTTCTGAAACAGAATTAAAATTCTGCACAGTCGGATCTTACCGCCTGTATCAGGTTGCAACCCTATACCCACGTACCTGAGAGTAAGCCTCAATGAAAATCAGCGGGACTTACTTCTGAGTAGACCTACGCAGGATTGTGTTGCAGGCTGTCCATATTAAGGACAGTCACAAACTTTGCATGTCACTTGTGGGAGAGAGACATGAAGCTATGCAGGGCGCTAACAGACACCAGGTACTGCCCACTAAACTTATCATCTGAATCCTAAGGCATGGGAATTTGCTTTTCAAGCCCCCCACCCTGGGGGGGGGAAAATATGGTGGAGAAAGCCAAGAGTTTCATGCTGCAGGAACCACTTTTAAAAGCAAAATCCAGACAAAAATGGGTACCACAGAGCTTCACCACAGAGGTTCTCAAAATAACTTGCCTTCTTAATTCTGGACCTAAACCCTGATATTTGACACCTTTCCTGGGTGCTAACCAGAAGGATAAAATCCCAAACCTTGGGATCAACTCCCAAGACCCACAAAACCCAACTAATCCTCTGTATTAGTTGCATTGCAGGGGGTTGGACTAAATGACTCTCAGGTCCCTTCTATGTATGCCGGAAAGACGACAAGAGACCCTTAGCCAGAATGGCAAGAGCACTGAATCTGCAATTCAGAATGAGAACGATTGGTAACCTGAGTCTGGGGTTAAGCTAGTGCACTGACATCTCACTATTCCTTCCCCCAAGCCTCCTGGTCCTTTTTAAGCAGCTCTGGCTCAAAGCCTCAGGAGTGTAAGCTGAGCGCTGTTTTCCAGCTCATCTGACATGCAGCCCCACCTCACTCCTCACCCACTGAAGCTCCAGGTTGCAGCTCAAAGCCAAAAGGAGAAAGCTGTCATGCTAAAGCAACTCCTGTTGAACCCCAAGGAGATGCTTGGGGGCCAGCCTTCATAGAATCATAGCATTGTAAGGTCGGAAGGGGCCACAAGGACATAGCTGCCAACGTTTCCCTTTTTTAAAGGGAAATTCCCTTATTCCAAATAGGATTCCTCTCAAGAAAAGGGAAAAGATGACAGCTATGCACAAGGATCATCTAGTTCAACCTGCTGCATCTTCTGGTCCGGCATTCTGGTGTGAGTCAGGCAGGTCACACCAGAGTACTGGACCAAAAAAGGGTCAGAAGCCAGGATTGGCTTCTGTAATTCCTACTTAAAATGGGGCAGTTGAATGGTATGGCATTGCTGTGGGTTGGACGAGATTACCCCTTGGGAGCTGGGACGCTGTGGGTTAAACCACAGAGCCTAGGACTTGCAGATCAGAAGGTCGGCGGTTCGAAACCCCGTGATGGGGTGAGCTCCCGTTGCTCGGCCCCTGCTCCTGCCAACCTAGCAGTTTGAAAGCACATCAAAATGCAAGTAGATAAATAGGTACCGCTCTGGCAGAAAGGTAAACGGTGTTTCCGTGCGCTGCTCTGGTTCACCAGAAGCGACTTAAGTCATGCTGGCCACATGACCCGGAAGCTGTACGCCGGCTCCCTCAGCCAATAAAGTGAGATGAGCGCCACAACCCCAGAGTCGTCCGCGACTGGACTTAATGGTCAGGGGTCCCTTTACCTTTACCCCTTGGGGGACGTTCTGACCCTACCATTCTCTGATTCTATACAGTATCTGACCAATTCGTTATTATCAAATAAGCAACGCCTGCATAGCTTGTTCTTTTTGCTGCCATTAATTCTGGCTTTCGCCCTACTGCTCTGCCTGCTCGGAAATGTCATTACCAGAGATAGACTGACGGTCACTCTTCTCCCCCCCCCCCAGCCCCTGTGAGTTCCGTGGTCTAAATAAAGCTCTTGTAATATTACCTAATGTGTTCTGTTCCTGCGAAAAGGTTCAGGCAAATAAAGTAAATCTTTCCACTCCTGGCAGCTTGCAGAGGTATGCGGCACAGACCCATCTGTCAAATTCCTAGAGCCCGGAAGCCACAGAGGTCTCCAAAGGTCTCTGGGCTCTGGACTAATATAAATACTATGTCATAACATATTTAGTAAATGGCAACGCAGGCTGCACACAAATGTGCAGAGAGGAGGGGGACTAGTTGGGTCCTGAGATGAGATGAGAAATAATTTCTGGTCTCGTTCTAATGAGAACCACCCAACTCATTCCCACTTCCCAAAAACTATACGTGGACTGAAAAATGCAACTACCCGTTGAAATTCACGCTTCTCCTGAATTTTGCATTGCAGCTCCCCAAACGAAAAACGAGTCCAGAAATGTGTGTATTAGGATTAATGTGCACGAAAATGCTATGATATTTTTTGCAGACTTCTTTTTTTTTTTTTAATAGCAGCACTGCATGTGGAAAATTACAACTGGAAAAATGAGAAATGGGGGTGGGGGGTGAGGACTGAATCTGACAGATTCATCCATCCCTACTGAGATGAGGAAGTTGCTGAACAGGAGGGGAAAGGTAGAAAGCTGCCATCTGAGAAAGAGAAAGGTTTGAGAAGCACCACAGGAGGACAACTGGAAGGGGCCCCTCTATGAGGACACAGGGCCTCTGTTTGGAACAGTTTTTGGCAGATTCTCAAGACTGGCACGGAACTTGGAATAGCCACTGATTTTCAACAGTTGTTATTCTTCTTCCGTCTGCATGCTAGTTTAAAAGCTAGGCCTGTGGGGGGAATGAAATGTGGTGCTCCTCCTCCAGGAAGGAGACAGTGCCCCACACAGAGCGAGATGAGTATCAGCTGACCTTGTGAACAGAGAACATCACCCGTAAACTGGAAGAGGCAAATGCTCTCAATGTCCAAAAACTATCTGCAGCAGGAGTGAAGAAGCCCAAATGTGGCCCTCAAGATCTTTCTATCTGGCCCTCAGGACTCTCATAGGCCATGGCCTTTCTCTGCAGGCTGCACCCCACACCGGTCCTGCTTTGCACGCTTTTTGGCTGCTTTGACCTGGCTGAAGGGTGCCTTAAACTTATGAAGCCTGTCTTTCATCTCTGATAACGCCCATTGCTTGCCTCGATGGAGGGTGGCTGGGATTTAGTTCATTGCACAAATGCAAAAAAGTCTCATCCATTGTTCTGACACCTTTTGCCTCTGGCCAGGATGCAATATGGCCCCACGGCTGAAAGAGGTTCTCCAATCCTATAGTCACACAGGAAGTTGTCTCATACCAAACCAGACAATTGGTTCCAGGGGATGATCTGAAGTCCCATGAGGCCACCACTTTGCTGAAGCTAAACAGGGCTAGGTCTGGACTGATTCAGAACCATAGGTGAATCACCTTGGGTTCCAGGATGGAAGGAGAGCCCAGATAAATGAAATGAAATATGTAAAATAGATCAGTATTATCTACAAGGAGTCGTGGCAGGTCTCCAAGGTTTCAGCCTCACCAGATGCTAGGGTTTGAACTGGGGAAATTTTGTACACAAAGCATGCGCCATCACTGAACTGTGACCCCTCCTCTTTAAATCACTGGTATTCACCAGTGATTTTTTGGACTTTTACCTATATAGTCGTACCTTGGATCTCAAATGCCTCGGCTCCCAAACAAATCGGCTCCTGAACGATCAAAACCCGGAAGTGAGTGTTCCGGTTTTTGAATGATTTTTGGAAGCCGAATGTCTGATTGACGGCAGGATGCTCCTGCAGCCAGTCGGAAGCCGTGCCTTGGTTTTTGAATGGTTCCAAGAGTCGAAC